ATAGATGTTTGGAATTTGAGCTGTGCCTAGGGGAAAATAATTTTATCTGACCAGTCACAGTTAGGCAACCATGTGTACATGGATGAAACCATACAGTAAAAGAAACAGAGTAGATCATATTTTTGAATTTGGTAACAAGAAGTAGAGTTTTGGACCTGACAGTGAGAGAACATGAAAGGAGGGTAGACCTGTAGAGTGCTCAATCAAAAATAACACATTTTTAGGTTTGCCAAGGTTACAGTCTTTATGATACTTGGGAGTTGTTCGGTCATGTTGACTCGTGAGAAAAAATTAAGCCCTGAAGGGAGATGGTATAGACATAGCGAGAAAGCAAGAGATAGGAGATGACAAAACTAGATCTGAATTAATTTTCTATTGTATTTTGGTGAAACTACAGTGGAAATTGCCTTTCCTCTATCACTTTAGGGAACTCCTTGATAGCAAAATAAAAATACTTCTATTCACTTGCTCTGTTTCAAAGTCCTGACCGAATGGAGCCTAACACTTCTGCTATTCAATGCTGTACTGCACTTCCTCTCTGCGTAGTTCAAAAGGAAAAGCATTCAGCCTTTAAAGGTAGAGATGTCTCCATGGATTTAGATGAGAAATTTGTCAGTTTTCTGGACAAGTTGCCATACCTTCTTCTTTTTTTTTTTTTTCTTTTTTTTTTAGCAAATCCACTCTTTGTAGTGTCCTTAATAAACATCTTGTGGGCAGCTGTGAGAAGAATTACCACTGGGGACAGGTTCTACCCACTTTATGTTTCTGCCATTGGCTCTTAAAGACGTGACTCTGGCTGCTGTTAAAGAGCAATTTTTTTGGTGAACTGAGCCACTGGATTGATCGTTATGTAAGAGGGGTTAATTGCCTAACACTTCTCTCTTTTCCTGTGGTACCAACATAGATCACAAGTATCCTTCAGTCACAGTGGAGGTCAGGGGATGGGACCTAACTGGAGTGCAGACAACTATCCAGAGGACTGTGTTTGGACCCCACTGCTGAGCACAGGATTTGGCAGTGTCTTAGTTTTAGTCTTAGAGGAGCAGACTTTGATGCCAGCAGCAACGGCAGCTCCTCCTGACACACAGCAAGGGCTTTAGAGAGCTTTAGCCCATGGGCAAAACCAGAACACATCCATCACCATGACGTAGATTTAGTGAGACCAGTGGAATATGTACTTGGTGAGGATTAAGAGCTAGTGCCAAGGGAATTTCAGCAGCAAGGAGACACAGTCTCACCTGCACAATGTCCCTCAGGATGCTGGTGGTCCCTGGCAGCTGCCTGTGCCTGCCAGTTGCTGGACAACTGTAAGGTTCATGCCTGGCTCTGAGCATCCCTCATTATAACTCAACATGTTTACTTCTTCCTTTCAGCCAGCTGGTATCCAAAATGCTGACATGCTGCAGCAAATTATTTAGGAGCTAAGAGGCCCACAAAACTCTGGGAAGATAAAAAAAGATCAGGCTTAGCATAAACAACACAAAGAGCTTGAGCTTTTGCTCCTTGGGAGAGGAGAAAGACAATTTGTTTAAATTAGTTTTGATTAGTTTTGTCTTTTGAGGGCAGCACGGAATGTTTGGGAATGCTTGCCATGGGACAAACCTTGTGAGCATGGGCATTGTACTAGCTTTCCCTCATGTGAGTTGCCACATTGTTTCAGCACACTATTTGCTGTAGGTACTTTTAGAGAACAGAAGGTGGAGGAAGGAAAAGTTACTCTTTCCTTGAGAGGCATTTTGCTGTACCACTGTGGTTGTTCAGGCCTGGCTCAGTGCTGTCTCCTCATAGGATTGGATCCCCAGGCATAATCTCGCACTAGTTTAGCCTGTCCAGAGCTGGAAGTGAGGCTGACTGACAAGGCACAGGTTAGCAGCTGCCTCTTGCTCCCTTGGGAGGTTGGAAGGGGATTCACCCTGTTCTGCTCAAGGATAGAGCTCAGCTAGCAGACTGCTATGTGCATGAGATCAAGAACATTTCCATGGCACCTACACAGGAAAACCAAAGGTTTCCAAATCTTTGGATCTTCATTTCCAAGAAGGTGGAAAACCACCCCTTCGTTTCTTGAGAACACATACCACTCAGCTTTGTATGGTGTTGAGGAGCAGTAGCAATGGTTTCATAGGGGAAGGCTGGAACAGTAGAAAGGTCATATGTCATGAGAATTTCGATACCAAGTCCTGCTGATGTTGCTCTGATACCAAGTCCTCCTCTTCTTACTCTGACTTGCCCATGAATGCAGCTTTGTGGTGTCAGCATGGGGTAAGGAGCTGGCAGTTCACACTCACTACAGAGCACAAGTCTGCACAGACCAGATGGACAAGGACTATGTAGAGGAGACTAAGCAAGGGGTAGTGGTCCAACTGTCACAATGATGAACTCGGCAGATGTGGAGCTTCTATGAGAGCCGGGAGCTCCCTCTATTGCCCAAGGAAACCTATCCCTCTTCCTTAATGCTGGCTTGAGTGGCTGGAAAGTACATGTGGTTGAATCTCAGATCCTACTTGGGAACACCTCGTGTCGACTGGTGAGAGTGCTTTGTATGCAGAGCTTTGGTGTAGTTGACAGTAATGATAATAGTAATTAATATGTCTTTTTCTCTTTTAGTGCTCTTACGGTTTTATTTTGGTTTTATTTTTTTGTCTTGTGCTGAGATCAAGTTAAATGCATTAGTCAGTGTCATTTCTAAGTAAATTCTACATACTTATAGTTTTTTTCACCTTCCAGTCTCCTCTTTGCCTGACTGTGCCAGCTCTCTCTCGTGCATTGTGTCTATTCTGTGCACTGCATGAAATAACAAAAAGGAGATTTTGCAATGGTGGGTGATAAATACTGCATGAGTTTTACCTGAATTTTAGACCTTTCTGCATTTTGCTGTTTGACAGAAAATGCAGAATTGCCATGGCAACTGCTCTGTCATACGATAATTTTGCAGTTTCTGTGAGATAAAAAGCGTCTTCTCAAATATGCAATATGTCATCCTCACAGCGCATAGCTGTCAGCATTTTTACTGTCCTTCCAGGGAAAGAGCCCACTGGAAAGAGGATCAGCCTCTGTTTCTCCCTGTCAGTTTTTATCCAGGTTGCTTTTATTTAAAAGTTGGTTTTATATGAATTGTTTTTCTAATTCTGTTGAGAGGAATTACAGTCCAATCACTTTATACATTAAACTACCAGAGGAAACTCAAATGACAATAGAATTATTCCCCGTGGTTTCATTACATATAATGTAGACTGGACTGTGGGTTGGTGCCTGTATCATGTTAAAGCCGCATCCCAGAGCTTGGAAATGTCTTCACTCAGTTCAGACGTGATTGTGTGTAGACCATAGTGGGCAGCAAATTTGATATACATGATATAGCTGTGTATACTGACTTATCATGCCTAGTGAAGCCTTGACGATGCAATATCCTTGTTGCATCATTATTAGTAAAACTTACGGAAGAAGGATTCTGGGCCTGAAGGCATTTAAGATTCATAAGTCCATCCCTCAGGGAAGGGACAGCTGTGGCATAAGTGATTTCTCTTGCCTCTAGAATCCACAGAGCCTGAAATCCACAGGGAAAAGCCCATGAACTTGGAAGACAGCTATCTAATCTGCCCTGCTCCTTGTTCCCCCATCTGAATCTTGTTGTGGTAGCTTTTCATTTTCAAGACCTGGGGTTGCAGTTTCACAAGTAAAGCAAGTGTTTTTTAATGACAGTTATCTACTAGTCTGTACGTTGCACATGCATACATACAATATTAGAAAAATGGGCAGAATTGTCCCTATGGAACAAAAATCTTGAACAAACCATGACTATTGTAGCTGAAAATTCAGTTTGTTGGTAGAATGATTGCACAGTATCAGTTTGTTCTGTGTCTCTTCTGATGAATGTGGTTGATCCCATGCTCTGTATATTAATTCAGGATGGAAAATAAAGTGACTAGATGACCAGGAAAAAGCATCTTTAACTAAAACTTTGCAACTACTTTTGTGTCTTGTCTTCTATTGTGTTAAGCCTAGGTATTGTTAAAATCCAGATGTAGAGAACCCAGACAGCAGTTTCTGTGAAGAATAATTTGTGAACATTGGTAACTTGCCATTTTTCCTTTGCAGTTTTAAAAATATTGTTTGAACTATTATAGTGCAACCATTATACCACTTGAATATAGAGTCTATTAGTGGTTTATTGCCAATTATAATTATTCCTCATTTAACTGGTGTCAGAACTTCCTTTTTTTTTGGTGCATGAAAGTGTTGCTTTGCTCATGAACTGTAGTTCTTAAGAAGAAATCTGAAACAGCCTGTGTTTGACAGTTTAATTAGTATTATTTCATTATACAACATTTAAGCCTCCTATTTGATCCAGTGTTGATATATTTCTTTCAAAATTAAAATGTGCAAGAATTTAGAGCTATATAAATAAAAAGGGGTAAGAAAAAGTGACACTCCAGAATTCTGATCTGCATCTGCCTTCCTCTCTGCCTATCACTTCAAGAGTGATCCTGCAGTTACTTATACCTAATTTTAGGCATGTGAATAGATTTACAGAACTTCAAAGGAGTTTCTGGCTCAGGTTTTAAGTTCCGATCCAGGGACATAAACTTGTGTAAATCTACCTAATGTGTAGCACACCATAGGGACTAACAGCAACAACGACGTTAATAATACATAAAGAATACATCTATGTTACCACCAAGTATTTTAAACAAGTAGAGTTTTATTTTAAGGAACTAACAAGAAAGGTAAATGCAAACAGGATACTAGGTGTTCCATAAGTTAAATGCTAAAGCATACAAACCAGCTGTGTATGAGTATATTTTTGGATGAGATCAGTTTATTTGCTCTGTGTTTGGAGAACACTTGCCACAGCAAGAGCATGAGTATTCCTACATCCTCTTACAAGAAAAAAATGTTGTTTAGGATAACGTGGCAGGGGAATGAAAACTGTACTGCCATTTTTTAATTGCACTTAAGGATCACATCTGCATTTCTAAAAGAGGTATTAAGAAAATACTTACTTCATCCTCTGTGCTGTAGAATATCGGTGTCTTACCCTTACAGTGCTGTCCTACATGTTCCCTACCTTCTGTAAACATCTGTCCTTTACATTTTCATTTTCTCCATCAGACACTGAAGGATGCCAGCGACAATGCCCGCAAGGACTTCCACCGTGAGGCAGAGCTGCTCACTAACCTGCAGCATGAGCACATTGTCAAGTTCTATGGCGTCTGTGTTGAGGGTGATCCGCTCATCATGGTCTTTGAATATATGAAGCATGGAGATCTTAACAAATTCCTCAGGTAAACCCATGAACATATATTGTGCTGCTGAGCCAAAAGTGGGCCGAGAAGGTAGGTGTTACTGGTACTTAATGTCAAATTAACTACTACCACTGGCAAATACGGACATCTAGGAGTACAAACTGTGTGACTCTTGTCTTCTGTACTGGGATGTGGGGCTCTGTCTCTTTGCCTGTTTGGAAGTACCATTAAGTCAAGCCTTACGCTTTTTACCAAACAAATGTGAACCAAAGAAATATTGTTTCCAATATATTTCAGTGTATTCTGAAATGTTTGGTTATAAATCCTACAGTAGGAATCATTTTCTTGCTGGCTTTCTGATAGCACTGGGAAGATCCCACTCAACACCTATCACTATCTGTAGGCATCTAAGAGCTTTTGAGGTCTAAACCCTTTTCTCTTCCCTCTTCGCAGTGTTTTGGAAAGACTACCATAAGTCTACAGCAAAAAAAAATGTGAGCCATGGAAGCTTTTGTGAATTGGAAACTGCTGCATCTTGGGGTCTGGATTAGGGCTTTATTTCATAAAACTGTTCAGGAATGTGCATCAGAAATTGAAATTTGACAGTAAAGCAGTCATAAATAAATAGATGATACCTAAGATTCACAATAATAGGTAACTTATGAACCCGGAAGTTGTGAACAGAGGCTTCATATGTATGCTATTTCCGCTAGCCTGCACTCATTAACATAAAAATAAGCAGTTAAGGCATAGCTTTTGCTACTATATTAAAAATATAAGGGACTGTTGTTTCAGCACCTTCTCTGTAATTTTCATCAAAATATATCATAAAGACATTTCAACATACAGAGGTCTCTCCTGCTGAAGATAACTAGAAGTTACCACCACTTTGGAAAGATATCTGTATCAAAGCTGTAAAACAATCAAACCTGATGTCCCTTTAAATGTGTTCATGTTTTCTGTTTGGTTGAAATGACTAGTGATTACTAGTGTCACCATATATGCACTTTTGGTAGCCTATATGAAACGAGTTTGCTGTCTTTCTGATCTCTTGAACAAATAGCCACATCATAAAAACCAGTGACAACAACTAGCATGCTCCCTTGTTGGCAGGGCTGACAAGTTTGGCCTGGAGCTGGGTTCTGAACTGGGGATGCAGAGCAAAGACTGCTACTTTTCCCAGACTGATTGTCTCTCTGGCAGAGGATTTAAATATATTTAAGAATTCAGGGCATTTATATTGGCCTGACTGGTCTTCTGCTGTGAATCAGAAGTTTGGGGAAACTGCAATTTCCCTAGATGCCATTCCAGTATGTTTACAGAACACTGAATTTCCATTAGAAGAAGCCAGATTCTCAGCTGATGAGAAATAATTTCTTATTTCATAAGAAATACTTAAGCTTTGATTCTTTTTGATTGGCCTTTTCTTACCTTTTAACTCTGATTTTGAATTATTGTACAGAAAAGTAGTTCAACAGACAGTATATTTCCTACATAAAGTGATTATGCTGGGACAAGCTGTTAAACCTCGGCTCCAGTTTGTCCTTCCTCTCATATTGCAGCTTGTGCTGCAGACCACAGGTTTGTAGCAAAGCAGGCTAAAAGAGCCTGTATTTCTTACCCTGCAGCGCCGCCAAAGGCTGTTAGGGAAAAATTGATCCAAAAGTTTAACCCAAATGAGCCTGGCTGTCTGCATGCAGCCAAAGGCTGTGTAGGTCTAGGACTAAAGCCTCAAAGTCATGCCTGCCCAGTGCTTGTTCTGACTAGTGGAGTCTGTTGTTGCTGCAGAGAATATCCCTGTCAATGTTCCTGGCTGTTGTAGATGCTGAGAATCACCTCATTTATGACCAGCACCAAGAGAATAAGCAAAGTGGATGGAGCATTAGGAATAATCTAAAAGTTTCATTAGACACAGACCATGTTCTCGTGAAGGCTAGCAAAATGTGATGAGTTCTCTAATTTAGCTACTCAGAGTTTCATGTCTGAGAACAGTTATTAAAAAATCCATGCATGATAAGGTACAATGTGTTTCAGTAGGAATTTGCCTGTGAGTTTTAGTTGGAGATTTCTTATCCTCCCATTTATTCCCCTCTACCAACCACACCAGGTGAATGGCTACATGTACATACCCTGTGGCAGAGAACTGGCTTTGCCTGGTACCAGATGCAGTCCCAGCAGTGCTACACACCCTCCATTTTCTTTTGTGTTACTTTTCTCATGAAATTCTTCCCTTGGGGCAATTTTAATATCATGTTTCTGATAGGTAGTGTCAGAACTGATCTCACAGATTCGATTAATTTGCAACTCTTTTCCAAATTCCTGCACCCTTCCCCTAGAGATAAATTAAGGCCTCACCTCTGTTGATTAGGAAGGCAATTCTCTGAAACTCCCCTTTGTAGGAAGGAAGGGCTTCGAGAGGAAATAAAAATCAGTTCTAGAGCATTTTTCAAAAGCAAAAGTTGATGAGGGAAAAAGAGAGGTGGTCTCTTAGAAAGAATAGTCTTCAGAAAAGGAATAAAAAAGGCTTCTGAAAACACAGGAAAATTGAATGAAAGGGAAAGGGTATTCAGAATATTATAAGCTGTATCAAATGAAGAATGATTGCCAGATGATCCTGCTAATTGGATAAGGATTAGCTAGTAATTCTTACTGTAAAATGTTGTGCATATAGTATCTTCAAGATACTAGGATGTACGTGCATTTCAGAGCTAACATAGTTAAGACGGGTGAAGCACATGTGTCCCAGTACTTCGCTGGGCCTTTCTAATGCAAAACTTCTCTGTTTTTACTGGAGTGCATAGAAGTATTCTCCTTAATCAGTTGATTGTTGCATCTTAGAGACTTGCTATCTTGTATTTCTGAAACTGGTTTTTTTTGCTGTTTCAAATAATGTGTGTTTTGTGTCCTCATCCTATCCTCAGGAATTCCCACGTCAGATAGGACTCACCCTTGGTGATGAAATAAGCAAAAATTCTTTCCTGCTGTGCATTTGGATAGGAAACTAGAAGTATAAATCTAAGATTGCTGCCCTTGTTTCTCAGAAGGAAGTGAGCTTTTTCTTCTTAAAGAAAAGATGGAAGGGGTCAATGTCGTTTCTCCCTCTAGAAATCAAGGCATGCCAGTCATAGGAAAGGTGATGCTATGCATGCCACTTCATTGCCTTTCCCCCAATTGTTTTTCACACTTATAGTGTTACTAAACAGTTGTTTTTGTCAGCCTTTCTCTGGATTACTAGATTGGAACAGGAGAAAGGTGGTGTTTTCTGACAGATGGGTATTATTGTGAACACATGTGCCTTATTTCCTTGAGTAATACATATCCTATTGTGTAAGGCTCTTCACACCACCTATCTTTCCCACAATGAAGGAAACAGCAAATGAAAAAAGCCGAGATACAATTTTTTCCTTATTTCACCAAGTAATTTGTAGCCCTTTTGACTGCATTGTGTGGATTTAAACTCACTAATGCCCTTTACCTCTCCATTTTACAAGTGGCCTGTCAGTTTATCCACTTGCGTTTTGGTGCAGGGCGCATGGACCAGATGCAGGACTGATGGCAGAAGGCAACCGTCCTGCTGAGCTGACCCAATCCCAGATGCTTCACATTGCCCAACAGATTGCATCTGGTATGGTTTACCTGGCATCACAGCACTTCGTGCATCGGGATCTTGCTACCCGGAATTGTCTGGTTGGTGAAAACCTACTGGTGAAGATTGGGGATTTTGGGATGTCTAGAGATGTGTACAGCACAGACTACTATCGGGTAAGTGAACTGCTGTACTAAGAAATAACCTAGGTCTTGTTCAGTCTTATTACCACATTGGTGTGACTGATTCTGCTTTTATACTCAATCATCTGTCTGTCAAGTAATTTAGAGGCTGGCATATGGAGAACCTGCTTTTGAGTTAAAAAGTTTTGGTAAATTTGGAGAGTTAGTCAGGGTAAGATTGTTATGTCTTGTTTTTTATATATGTTGGGTTTAGATTTTGATAATAAATCACGGAAAGGTCTTTTTCTCTGGGCAAAAATTTTGCATTGGCTTTAGTGAAGAAAAAGCAGCAGACGAAAATGAAGAGTTGGTAATTGAATTTGGTTCAACACTTTGAAGTTATTAAAATATGTTCTTAAATATTGCAAAGACAAATGGAAATTTTGACTTTGGGGAGATTTAGAATGTTTCAGTTAACTAGAGAAAGTGTAAGTACTGGACAACAGCATGACCAGTTATTTTACTCAAAAAGAAACTAGGTGAGAAATTTTTATACACTCAGCACCTGAAAAGCTGTCATTAAGCTTTTCCTGCCTTCAGCCAGGGCTTTAGACCTACTTCTTATGGTTGAAAAGTTGTTTTGCAGAGGGTAGGAATAGCTGGTTGCGCTTGTTCATTCTTACTGGTTTTGCTGAATGTGGTTGCCATAAAATGATGTCTGAAGTTTCCAAAGACCTTCTAGAATTGCTGGGATAAACATAACTGTGTGCATTAATTACTGTTGTTGACACTGTCTTGGTGCTGTGTGGCAAGTCATGTAGTTGACAGCATTTGTTATTTGCTATCACATTTGTAATTTCATGACTGGAACTTAAGCTGTCAGGTGTTTGTAGCTTGGGAAAGGCAATCCGTGGCCAAGCTGTTAATTTACAAACCCTAGAGTTTATCCTGTAAGATAAACTAACTCATCATCTTTAACCACATGTTATGTATCTGCCTCTCACATGACTTGTTGCCAGTGAATTCCTTAGAGATAAAATAAAGGCCTCTTTCTTAGCCACTCAATTTGGGCTACTGTGTTAGTAAAGGAGAGTGTCACCTCAGCATCAGTGTTTGTGAGATGTCTGGAAAGAAATTGTCTCTACATCTGGCTGAGGCTGAACAGGGAAGCTACACACAAGAATTATTGATGAATGCTGATTCACTTGACAAGTGAGAAGTAAGTCTCCCCTGTTAATGGTCTTTTCTTTCAAAGACAAACCTAGTATTTAGTAAGCATATGATCCAGATTCCTCTTATAAATTGTTATTTTGGAAACTTGGCACTTCGAGTTATTTGATCAATGTAAAACAAGCCTGACTGCACTTTAGAACTTAGAAAAAATATACAGGATGGTAATCAGTGCCTCTGTGTGCAAGCACACCAGTGAACACCAAGGGCCAGGGTTTCTTATTTTGCATCTGATTTTGCATATTGCATTTTTGCAATACTTGTTGGGACTGAAGGCATCTCTGTTCTGTACTTCAGTGTTTACCATGTTAGTTGTTACACTTAAGAATGAATGTGTATGCTGAACAGTGACTGTTGCAAAGATCTTTACAATCAGAGGCAGCATTTTTAAATATATGCACTGCTTATTTTTGGAAAAAAATAGTAACTCCCTGCTACATAAAAACTACCTGCAAAAAGGGATAGAAGCTCAGTAATTGTAGGGGCTTCCAGGAAACAACTGAGACCTGACATAGGTGCACGATAATGTACTGACTCTGGCATCATCTTACCTGCTCATATACCTCTGGATTTAGTCCTTGAGTCTTACACATGATCATTCAAGCAAATCTTCTGCCCAGTGAAACATGGATTTAGAACAAGACCCATGACCTGGAGAAAGCAGCAGTTCACCAAAGGAAATTCTGCATAACTCGGATAGTCCTTCAATACCTCTCAAAAGACCTCGTTCAAGGGGTACACTGCATTTCCCACTGCCTCTTATACAGAATCACTCTCTTCTTTCCTTCTTCTCTCCATCATCATCACCTGCTTTTGAGGTCAAGGAGGGGTTTTGTGTGGTCCACTATGTAACAAAGGAAAAGGAAGAGGGAGCAGTGCGAAGAGGGTGCAATCATGGATGTGAGGGAGGGAACAAGTAAGGTGGGCAGGTGTGGTGGTTTGGCCTAGGCCTTCCTTGGTGACCAGTTTGTAACCAAGGAAGGGTCCAGATTTACCCAGTATTCCCTATGACTTTTATGTAAGCCAGGCTATAAGAAGAAAGGAGGAGAGGCCTTTGCTCTCTTTCCTTCCAGCGGCTTGGAGGTGCAGGTTCCCTGCTGTCAGGTCTGCCGTGTTGGGCAGCGAGGCCTGGTAAGGCCTTGTCGACCTTGGGAGGCAGAGGTTGCCGGCGATCGTTCCAGAGCAACTCTCGTTTGTCCCAAGGAGAATAGTGAGATATTTCTTTGCTAACTCTTTTAGTTGTTAGATATTGGGCTACTAAGCGGGATATATATATATTTTATTTTGATTTTGTTCCTTTTTCCCTTCCCCCTTCCCGTTCCCTCGTGAAATTGTATATATATTTCAATTGTATATACCTGTAACATAAGTGTAAATATATTTATATATATATGGCTTTAGCTCTCTATCTTGTTTCGGTTTTTCTTGGTTGTTTTTCTCCCTCTTCTCCCTGAGGTTTGGGGGGGGGTACTTCTTGTGGTAAGGTTTGGAGACTTGGCAGGGAGCCAGCTTCAAACAATATCAGCAGGTAAATGTAAAGAAGTGTTAGTAAAAGACAAACATGAATGAAGGGAGAAGGAAGTAAACAAGTGTCAGAGGAGATAATGTAAAATAACATGGCTACATGCAAGTTGATGGTGTAAGCTTTCAGGGAGATGGTTGGATATGAAACTTCAAGCTGGGTAGTTATTTGTTCTACACAGTAAGAAAAAAAAAAGGATCATTTATCTGACCTCTCATGTTCCAGCTGGTTCGTAACTGGTGCAGAGGAAGGACAGAGCCACAGCCTGCCACACCATCATATTTCACAGTGATAAAAGTTGGAAGTTACAGTTGAGCCTGTGAGGTTTTGGCTTGCCCTGCTTGGGCCATATGCGAGCTGATCAGAGTCTGGTCATGAAATAGTCAAGGCAATGATAACTTCCCAGATGGTTACCTGGAGAATTATATCCATGGCAGGCCTAAGTCAGCGATAATACTGGCATTGACCTACCATAGCCAGTTGTTTGTAACAGGCTAAATCTTTTTAACTGCTCAGGCTTAAACACATACAGAGAAGCAATTCATCCCCAACCCTGACAGCTTTATCTGATGCTTGTTGGAGGGATTTACACAACTCCAAAATGTTCTGCAATAAATGGTTTGGCATTTGTGTTTATTGATACACTGGAATTTCGGGATCCCAGTCATGATGTTAGATTTGCCCAAGATTATTATTTATCACTTGCTTCTGTAAGATAAGGATAATCCCAAGTCATTGTGCACTGTTAGACTGTAAACGACATTATGCACTGAATCAGCTCAGTTCTTGAGAGATACCTCAGGGAAGACAGGGAGAGAGCTAAGCCTTGGACTGGGATTGCATGTGATGTGTGGCCCTGATTGTGCAGGTTTTCTTCTTTCTCCCCAGTTCTTTTTTCCTTTCTTTTTCATTGGGCAGGAGTCTTGTAGGTGGGGGAAGCCCTGATGTACATGCTAGCATCCACTGTAACAGCAATAGTTTTCAATAATCAGACCAGATGAGCCTGGGGGCATGAAGAAGCTGCAGACTTTTCTTACCCAGAACTGCTGTCCACCCCAGGTCAAAGTAAAACAACTGTCAAATAATTGGTTTGGTCTGCGTGCCAAACAGCTCCAGCGACACTATGCTGCACTGCAGTCCTTGTAGCACAAAGAATCCTTTCACAAAGTTATTTACTTGCAGAGCTTAGGTCTCAGGTTCATTAGGGGCTTTTATTTGTTTTGTTGGTGACTGGTTTTTGTTGTTTGATTCCCAGCCTCCACAGGTCAGGGTTTCCCGTCTTTCGCTCAGATACACAGGTATTGCTTCAAAGCAGCTTTCAGTGCTTTAAAGTATTGACGCTGAATCATGGAAACAACTACTTTGTTATTATTTGCTCTTGCACTCAGAGATAATGTATCAGGGCCTTTTAGTCTTCCAGTTCAGGTTTGCAAGTGGCTGCTTAGTACTTGGTCTTAAAATATTTTCTGCATTTCTTTATCATAAGCAAAAAGCTTAAAAAAAAAAAAAAGAAAAAAGAAAAAAAGAAGTCATCTTGTCCAGTACTTGGAAAAACTCAACAGGGATATGCTTTAAATATCCAGCCTGGTCAGCCAACTACAGACTTGAGACAAGATTTTGGATGAAACTGTGATCTCACAAGACTAAGCAAGAGTTTTGCCATTAACTTCATTAGGACCAGAACTTCACTCTTCCACGTTTTTGTTTGTCCAGTGCAGGATAGGGACTGTGTTTCTGATTTAGATTTATGGAGCTCAGTTGTGTAATCCCTATTTAGTTATTGTATAACCTACTTGCCTTTATGCAACAGCACAAGGAACAGTGGAGAAAATAAGGACTCCCTTCCTCTGCTTGTACAAATCACTCAAAACTCTGTCAAAAGGCTGGGGCTGTTAGTGATGTTTCCGTCTTCCTTTGGGCCTAGTTTGCCCTAAACAGCAGAGAGGTTCACAAATTACAGAGTCACAGAATATGCCGAGTTGGAAGGCACTCGCGAGGATCATCAAGTCCAACTCTAAGCCCTGCACAGGTTCAACCCCAACAGTCACAGCGTGTGCCTGAGAGTATCATCCAAACACTTCCTGAATTCTGCCAGGCTTGATGGTGTGACCACTTCCCTGGGGGGCCTGTTCCACTACCCAACCACCCTCTGGGTGGAAAACCTTTTTCTAATATCCAACCTAAACCTTCCCTGACACAAAGTCAGGCCATTCTCTTGGGTCCTGTCCCTGGTCACTTCAGAGAAGAGATCAGTGCCTATCCCTCTTCTTCCCCTCACAAGGAAGTTGTAACTGCAGTGAGGTCTCCCCTCAGTCTCCTCTTCTCCAGGCTGAACACACCAAGTGACCTCAGCCTCTCCTCATACGGCTTCATCTCAAGGCCCTTCACCATCTTTGTTGCCCTCCTTTGGATGCTCTCTAAGAGCTTAATATCTTTCTTCTATTGTGGTGCCCAAAACTGCACACAAAATTCCAGGTGAGGCTGCACCAGAGCGGAGTGGGACAATCCCTTCCCTCGACTGGCTGGTGATGCTTTGCCTGTTGCCCCCAGGACCGGTTGACCCTCCTGGGTGCCAGGGCACTGCTGACTCAGATTCAACTTGTTGTTGACCAGAACTCCAGTCTGTAGGTACATCCAGGGTTGCCCCATCCCAGGTGCAGAATCCAGCACTTTCCATCTGGTTGGTGATTGCCCAGTCCTCTCATTTGTTGAGGTCTCTCTGCAGGGCCTCCCTGCCTTCAAGGGAGTCAATAGCTCCTTTGAGTTTTGTGTCATCTGCAAACTTGCTTAGTGTCCCTTCCAGTCCTGCATCCAAGTCATTTATGAAGATGTTGAAGAGCACAGGACCTAAGATGGAGTCCTGTGGAACCCCACTAGTGACAGGTCACCAGTCTGATGTTACCCCATTCACTGTTACCCTCTGTGCTTGACCCATGAGCCAATTGCTCACCCAGCACATGATGTGTTCATCCAGCTGTGTGCTGGGCGTTTTGTCCAGAAGTATCCTGTGAGAGACAGTATTGAAAGCTTTACTGAAATCCAAAAAGATTATATCAGCTGGCTTTCCTTGATCAGCCAGGTGGGTGGCCTTGTCATAAAAGGAAATTTGATAAGCAAGATTTTCGTCTCATGAAGCCATGGTGGCTGTGACCAAAGACTGCATTGTCTTTCAGGCATCTTTCAATACTTTTAGTATAATATTCTTCATAACTTTACCTGACACTGAAGTGAGACTAACAGGCCTGTGGTTTCTGGGGTCCTCCTTCTTGAAATTAGTTTCCTCCACTGCTGGCACAGATGAGGTAGAAGACCAAGAGGATGCAGTTCAGTATAAAGGATGCAGTTCTGAGGATAAAGTATAAATGACCCCATTTCTCTTTAAAGTATTCTGCGTATTTTGTACCATGTTTTGCTATTTAAGGAGAGCATATTGGATATATTCATTATCTTCAGACTGGAAAAAGAGGTATAGGTTACTGAGCCTAAGCCTTCCATTCTTGCAGGAAGCTATGCAGTAGGAGTTAAGGATAGGAGCAATAAGAACCTGAGACCTTGTCATGCTACAGGAAAAACCCCAACACTCACTAATACTTTAGCCCCTTCTATGTAAGGCACCAAACCCCATAAAAATTTCAGTCTGCCAGGGAAAAAGAGAAGATGTCAAGAGTGTCAACAGTGTCCTAAGCCCCTAAAGAGAAACTATGCTTGGCAAAAATTCCTGAGAGATTTTAGGAAATCAGTCACACCTGACACACAGCAGGAGGTGACAGCAATCCCCATCAGTCTTTCCTCTGAAAATTACCTGCTGAGCTGGCAAACTGTATAACACTAGGTGGGCCCAAGCCAGCTGCACCAGCCAGTGGCATAACTGGAATTTGGTGACACCCCTCAGAGGACATCTGACTGTGTCACCTGTCCTGAGTGCCTTAGAGCAAAGTGGAAACTGAAGCTGACCCAGAGCCAAATCATACAACAAGAGGGAAAACAAAAAGGCAGGTAACCAGTGCAAGTCCTGAAGAAAGACTTTAGTTAAATAAATGAATAAAGAGCGGCCTGCAAAACACTGACAGGGTTTTTCTCAAATGTCTCTCAGGTATACCACAAAATTGGATAGCATCAGTCTTGTGTTGAAGCCTGGATTTCTAACTCCTGAATCACTCCTGTCCTGTCACACAGCTGCTTCCACCGAAGTGGATGCTGCAAATAAGTAGGATCCTGCTGCCAGCACTTTTCCTCAGACAGCTGTACCACAGTCTCTCTGTCCTAACAGATGCATTTTTTTTTTAAATCAGCAATCTGAATTAACTCATGATCAATATACACCTACTTGATCACATTA